GGCCTAGCTGGAGAAACACAGGTAACCAGACAGGTGCTCATGCTGGTGTTCAGACAGGTACTGGAGCACAGAGCCACCAGGAACTAACTCAGCCCTGGGAAGAGACAAAGGAGAAATGTGACATGAGCTCAGCCTGTTACTACATGGAAGCCTGAGGAACTGGAGGGTGCACCATGCTGGGATGGGCTTGAGCAGCTTGGGTCAGTCTTGAACACATGGATACACCCAGTGGGGCCAGAAATACCATAGGCTTGTTTGGTTTGGGCCTACCAAATCTGCCTACTATTTTTTAAAAAATGATACTATTCCATGTTGGCAAGGTTGCACTGAAACTGGCCTTCTCATGTGCCAGTAGTGGGTGTGTTCATTGGTAGAACCTTTCTGGAAGGTAGAACCAGTAGTTTTGGATATGTAAAAAAAAATCGTATAAATCGGCAGGTGATTAGTGAAAGCATAATTTGGAAATTTACAAATGAAATAACCGAAGTACTCATGCAGATTATTAATCAAATGATTGAATTCATTCACAAAGATGCAATGTTTGAGTCGTGAAAATTAATACATTTACATAATATTTAATGCCATGTAGTAAATGCTTATAATGTAGTTGAAAAAGTAAAACATATAAAGTATATATAATGTTCAAGTAATGAATAGATATATCTATTATTACTACTCCTTTAATTGGAGGAAGGTGTTTATAAATATTCATTAAAGAAATAGGGAAGAAGAGGAAGATAGTAGCCTGAGGACAGAGAGTGATGAGTCTTGAACGTCATTGGAAGGAGTAATTCTGGGAGTGATTTTATCAGGATCTGGGGACTCAAGCCCCTGGTTATACGTCCTGCCTGTGGTCTCTGGAAGCCGTTTGTGGAGAAGAGCTTTTCACCCTTCTGTGATTGTTATTTGGCAGGAGACAGTTTTTTATGAGCTTTAGGATCTTACTTCAGGCCACCCTGAGGGAGATCTACCAAAGCACTGCTTTTCAAACAGAAAGTAATAAACTCAGGCACTGTTTGAGCTCTTAGACTATGCCAGACATTATAGGTGCATTATCCCATCTAATCCTTAAAACAATCTCATGAGACAACCAAGGTTTAGAGAGGCCGTGCCATGATACAGTGTTAGATTTAGGATTTGAATCCAGGTCTGGGTAATTCTAGAATCCCAGAGTTCTTTTTTTGTTTGTTTGTTTGTTTGTTTTAAGATTTTATTTATTTATTTATTTATTTATTTATTTATTTATTTATTTATTTTAGAGATAGAGATTGGAGTGGGGGTGGGTGGGAAGGGGCAGAGGGAGAGAAGCAGATTCCATGCTGAGCACAGAGCCGGACAGTGGGTCTCAATCCCACAACCCCAAGATCATGACCAAGAGCTTAACCAACTGAGCCATCCAGACATCCCTAAATCCCAGAGTTCTTAACACACCACTCCATCTCTAATGTGCTAAGACCTGGTTCTGATGTGGATTTTGCCATCAAGGCACAATGTGACCATGTCTTGCTTCCCTGGGTTTCCTCACTGTAATAACTCTGCCCATCAGCGCTATCGAGAGGGGCTGTGGGCAGAGGCCTAGAGTTGGAACACCGTGGGGATCCACTACTATGTTCTTGACTCTATTTTGCAAAGGAGGGAGCAGGAGCCCAAAGAAGGGAAGAAATTTGCCCAGGTTTGTAGAAGAGCCAGGACTGGAATTCAGGAATTCTCAGTCCCATAAAAACATCCCCAGATGAGCATAACCAGTGGTGGCAACCAGGATGTGACAACCACTTATCTCCCTTCTTCCTACAGGCCAGAGTAGAGAGGCTGGCTCCCATCACTTCTCTGATTCTTGCTCTGACAGATCCCCTGGCTTGTGCCTGGGCCAGGCATCCCCTCTCGCCTGGGCAGGGAGAGCCTCGTCTTCACAGGGTGGAAGGAGAACTCAGTTGTCAGGCATCCGCAGCCACAGAGCGCCTGCCCCAGCCACTGACCTGGGTGGGGGTGATAGTGCCGTGTCATGTTCAACTGGCCAGGGACTCACATTGTACCAGGCTCTGTGCTGGGTACTTGGGGGCAGGAGTTGAAGGTTGTAGAAGCCTTCCCTTGACTTGACTTCCTTCTCCAGCCAGAAGTATGCTTTCTAGCAGCATTTCAATCATTCTTTAGTTCAGGAAATTGTTAATAATTTTGTGCAATAATTTACTTTAAAAAATCTGTTACCATAGTAAAAAGTAAAGTTTGTCTTTTACAGTGATAATTCGTAATGGAACATTTTCAAAGCCTTCCCATAGGCTGGCTTATTTATTTAAGTGTCTCTCTCTTTTTTTTTTTTTTTAGAGAGGGAGATGGGGGAGGGGCTGAGGGTGGGGAAGAGAGGGAATCTTATGCAGGCTCCACACCCAGCATGGAGCCTGGACACGAGCCTCATCTCACAGCCCTGAGATCATGACCTGGGCTGAAATCAAGAGTCAGATGCTTAACTGACTGAGCCACACAGATGCTCCTTTTAAGTGTTTCTTAAAATGGGATCTAGAAATTTTTTTTTTGTTTTAAAAGCATCTTAAAAAAAACATTTTTTTAAGATTTTATTTATTTATTCACAAGAGACAGAGAGAGAGGCAGAGACACAGGCAGAGGGAGCAGGCTCCTCACAGGGAGCCCGATGCAGGACTCAATCCTGGAACCCCGGGATCATGCCCTGAGCTAAAGACAGACGCTCAATTGCTGAGCCATCCAGGCGTCCCAAAGCATCTTTTTTTAAAAGGTATAATTGACACATGAACATTATATTAGTTTCAGGTATACAACAATGATTAGATGTTTGCATATATTGTGAAGTAATCACCACAGTAAGTCTAGTTACTACCCGAAAACATTTTTAAAAGTGTACAGAATGGCTTAACTTTTTTTTTTCTACCCCAGATTCTGGCCCAGTGGCCAGTGCCAGGCCTTGGCCGACTTTCCACCAGCTGGGGTGAAGTGGGAAAAATTAAAGGTGTAGGTGTGTGTATAACGTTGAATAAGGATGTCAGTTCCCCTTTCCCGGAAGAAAAGTCTTGAGCTTTCCTTACTATATTTTGGAAGGTTATCATGTGCTCTATTTTATGAAATGATAGTGTTAGTCTGCAAATAATATTTTTCAGCATCCTTTCTCATCAACCCATATCAACTCTCCAATTAAAAGATACCATTTACGAAACTTGAAAATCTGGGAGCCACTGGCACTGCTCTGGGATACAGCCCTTTGGCATCTGTTCCCTCCTTTGATCAGATTCACCCAATACTGGCCAACATTGGTTAAAGCACTCAGAGGTATGGCTCAAATCCTTGACTCTGCCAATGATTCGCTAATCTACCTTGATTGAGTCCTGACTTCACTTAGCCTCAGCTGCCTCTTCTTTAAATTGGGGATATTCAGGGACCCCTGGGTGGCTCAGCGGTTAAGCATCTGCCTCTGACTCAGGGCGTGATCCTGCAGTCCTGGGATTGAGTCCCACATCAGGCCCCCTGCATGGAGCCTGCCTCTCTCTCTGCCTCTCTCTCTCTCTCTCTCTCTCTCTCTCTCTCTCTCTCTTTGTGTGTGTGTGTGTCTTTCATGAATAAATAAATAAAATATTTAAAAAAAATAAATTGGTGATATTCATATTTCCCAGGATCATTCTGAAGATTTGCTAAGGTAGTATAGATAAGACATCATGATGCCCAGTACATCCTGAGTATGGTGTCTTATCCCCATCTGTCAAGTAAGTACCACTGCCTCTTTATAGTTGGAGAAGCACCCCCTCTAACAAAGACTAATCATGGTAAAACCATGGCTTGGACCTCTTCTCTTTTTAAAGAATTGATTTTTTTAAGGGATCCCTGGGTGGCGCAGCGGTTTAGCGCCTGCCTTTGGCCCAGGGCGTGATCCTGGAGACCCAGGATCGAATCCCACGTCGGGCTCCCGGTGCATGAAGCCTGCTTCTCCCTCTGCCTATGTCTCTGCCTCTCTCTCCCTCTGTGTGACTATCATAAATAAATAAAAAAAAAGAATTGATTTTTTAAAAAAAGATTTTATGTATTTACTCATAAGAGACCCACAGAGAGAGGCAGAGACACAGGCAGAAGGAGAAGTAGGCTCCCTACAGGGAGCCCAGTATGCGACCCTCTCCCTGGATCCTGAGCCAAAGGTAGACACTCAACCACTGAGCCACTCAGGTGCCCCAAGAATTGATTTATTTATTTGAGAGAGAGAGAGCAGGGAGAGGAGCAGAGCAGGAGGGAGAGGGACAAGCAGACTCTGCACTGAGCATCAGCCAGACATAGGGCTCAATCCCAGGACCCTGAGATCACGACATGAGCCAAAACCAAGAGTTGGTTACTTACCCGACTGAGCCACCCAAGCTTGGACTTCCCATGCTTTGTCCCAAATATAGGGAACTTGGAAGGAAGCTGTGGTAAGCGTAGGTCCTCAGAGGAAAGGGTAATTATCTCTGAATTCAAGATTGGGAAGTTTCAGCTCTAACTGGGGTGAGGATAATAGCAAAAGGTCTGAGTAAGTCCTGGGAGAAGGAAGAGGTGGGCAGGGAGGGCCTCCTGGTTGGTTCACAAACCACAAGAATCTAAGGAGAGGTCAATCAGCATCAAGCTCCCCACTGAAGGTTTCCCTGGTGATGATGAGAAATCCTGCTATGGGAACCCCTTCCCCACAGAGGGAGTGCTGCCTTCGGCTAGTGAGGGAGGCAGCTTAAGCAACTGGATCCAGGGCAAGGTCTGGCATAACTGGAAATCAGTCCTGTCTTGCCTTTGGAAGGATCCAGTATAGCATCCATCCTCACATTGACCTCCTACCTTATTTATTCATGAGAGACACACAGAGACATAGGCAGAGGGAGAAGCAGGCTCTCTAAGGGGAGCCTGATGTGAGACTCGATCCCAAAACCCCGGGATCATGACCTGAGCCAAAGGCAGACGCTCAACCACTGAGCCATCCAGATGCCCCTACCTTCACTTCATTGTTGTCTCATTTCTTCCAGAGGCACCGAAAACCAGATCAGCCACCCAGACCAGAGCCACAGGAATTAGGTCCCCTCAATGGGGACACAGGTGAGTAGGCAACCCTATAAATGCCCTCCTCTCCATCCATGAGGTTTCCTACTTTATAATCAACAGAAGTGATATAGCTATTTAATTATCTCATGAGACCTTAGGTAGGTTACATTAATAGGAGTATCATGTCTAAAATCAGGGAGGTGATAGTCCTGACCTGTTCCGGGCTATTAATGCCACACCCAGAGTGCTGAGTTTATTTCTAGAAAGTACATTTTTAGGGGAATCCAGAAAAATTAGAGAGAGTACAGTGGAGACAGATCAGGCTGGTGAGGAATCTGGAAACCATGTCCTGTAAGGAGCAATTAAAGGAGCAGAGGATGTTCTACCTGGAAAGAAGATGTTGCAATAAAAGACAGCAGATCTCTCCAAGTGTCTGAAGTGCCCCTGTAGAGAAGAAAGATAAGCCTTGTTCAGTGTGACTCAGAGGTCAGCACAGGGCCTCAAGGTGACAAAAACAGGCAGGTGGAATTCAGTTCAATCTCAAAGGATTTTTTGTGTGATTGTTGGTTTAAAACCATCAGAGCTACCTACTAATGAAATGAGCTCTCCACCTCGAAAGTGTTCAGTTACAGACTGGAGACTGTCAGGGCCATTGTAGACAGAGTTCAAGCACCAGATAAGCAACTGGACCAGAATTCAGAGGTTCTATCATCTGCCTGTGCACGAGAATTACCTGGGGGAGCTACAAAGATACAGATTCTGGGGCCCCACCACAGACCAGCTAAACGGAATCTCTTGGACAGGGGCTGATGGTATTGGTGATGATTTGTTTTTTATGAGCTTCTCCCTGGCTGGGGCCAGTCTGGGACTGGTCTTGTGGACCAACGTTTGGGAGCCTGAGCCAAATAGTTTGTGAGAGTCTGGGGTTCCCTGAATGTGGTCACCGCTGTCCCCCAGGCTCCAGGGCACTGACTCACTACTCTCCTCCCCCACCCCGATAGGAGGCCCAGTGCCAGCTTCCTGGCTAGCAGGCCCATTCTTCACCTTTCTCCCCAAGCCCTTTGCCAGCACTGTCTGTGGTGCTCTGTGATAATAATACTAACATGGATAATAATGCCAGCCACAGCAGTAATGCCAGCCCCTCTAATACTTGTCATGAGCAATGATGAATCTCTAGAGAGCATGTAGTTCACAATAAAGCGCATTTATTGAGCTACCTCTAAATGCCTGGCACTACACTTACTGCTTTTTGTACATAAGCAAGCAGAGTTAAGGTGGTGTTGAGGGGTGCTTGCCGTGGGATCAGACTGTGCAGGTTTAAAGCCCTTCTCCGCCATCTGTCAGCTGGGTAATCCTGGCCCAATTGCATAACTTCTTTGTCTCTCAGCTTCCTTATCTGTGAAATGGGGATAAACACAGTACCCGCCACAGTGGGTTGTTGTAAGGACTGCGTATTCCCTATGGGGCACCTTCAACAGGTTCCTGGGCACTGGGTAAGCGCTCAGTACTCCTTATCTTGCTCATATAATTTCTGTTGCCATTGTTTCCAGGTTTAATCATCTCTATAGCCCTGTGAGCTAGATAATATTATTTTCCCAGTTTCCCATATTGAGTAACTGAGGCACAGGGAGGGTGGATCATGCGTTGGGTCACACCCAGAGCCTGTTGGACTCAGAGTGGCATTGGCAGGACCTGTGTTGGAGTTTCCCTAATGAGAGCTAGGTTTCCAGTTTGAGGCTTCTTCCCACTCACAGCAGCCCCTCTGCCTCCAGCTTGCTGGCCGTTGGCCAGGATGGGGGTGGGGGATGCTAAAAGTCGGGGGTCACACACTCAGACACTCACAGGCTCCAGTCCCAGCAGGTAAAGCAGGTGATGGAGTGGTCCCCTCTATGTGCCCTCTGGAGAGAGAGGCAAGGACTGTGGCAAATGGCAGAGCCACATCCTGCACAAAGGGGAAGACAGCTGTGCCTCAGCGTCAACTCCTGGGTGGCACAAAGGTATATGCGGCCAGTTCTTGAGCTTCTTCAAGCAAAACTGGAAATCTATATATGAAGTAAAAGTAATCTCAGCAACTTTTTTTAAATTTTATTTATTTTTTAAAATATTTTATTTATTCATGAGAGATACAGAGAGAGGCAGAGACATAGGCAGAGGGAGAAGCAGACTCCCCGCGGAGAGCCAGATGTGGGACTTGATCCCAGGACCCTAGGATCACAACCTGAGCTGAAGGCAGATGCTCAACCACTGAGCCACCCAAGCATCCACCTTTTTTTATTTTAGATATGAGCTAGAGCATGTTAATAGGCTGAGTCCGTCCTGTGAGTTCCCAGCTCTGCTCTAGATCCTAAGGGGCCATAATGAGATCACTGGCTCCTGCACGAAAGAGGGTCTCAGAAGCCAGAGAGGTGTGAGGGGCTGCTGCTGGAGGTGGATGTCCCATCTAAAACCATTCTTGAGCTGGAGACTGGAGTTGTCACCACTTAGCCCTGACCTCCCACATCCTCTCTGCCACATCCCTGACCTCCCCTCTGCTGTGTGTGAACTTTTTGCTTCCTCACCTGTAGCCACAGCTGTCCAGCTCTGCCCATCTGAGGAGGCCGAGCAGTGCCAGAAGGAGATAACCAGAATTCTCCAGCAACATGAGGAAGAGAGGAAGAAATGGGCCCAACAGGTAAGTCCAGGTGGCACACAAGCCCTCTCTTTTCCTCCTCTCTTCTAATCTTGAGGATTACCTTTCAGTTTTGATGTTGTATCTCTTACTCCTTTACCCAGTAGGAAGTCCTTTATCTTTTGACTAAATATTTGTAACTGCTTGCGTGTAATTCATTATACTCATTGTATGCAGTGTAAGATTGGGAAACACTCTAACACAGCACAAAGACTTCCTGCCTGGAGAGGGCATCAAGTTTACTATGTCTTGAAGTCTTGTGCCCACTCTGAGCTCAGGTTGTTTCCATCACTCGGGATGATGGGGCGGGACTCTGATCACCAACCTCTGCAAAGCTCCAGGGGTTGGTGTGTGGATCAGTGAAGCCCTGCTGAACCACTTCCCGCCCCCAGGTAGAGAAGGAGAGGGAGCTAGAGCTTCGAGAGAAACTGGATGAACAGCGAAGAGTCCTGGACGGAGAGCATGAGGAGACCCTGCAAGGTAAGGATGGAGATGCTTCACTAGCAAGGGTTTAGAAGGGTCCTTCTTTTCTCCCCACCTCCCGAATTCACCTCTCGAATTCCGGATTCTCACTGGCCCCCACTCCTGTCTCTGGTCCCTCTCTTTTGCCTCTGACCCCTCCTTTCTACTATTGCCCCACCCCCACTCCCCACCCTCACCCCCGCTTCTGGCCCCTCCCTCCTGCCTCTGGTCCACAAATAGTTGGCTGCTTCAGGGCTGGAATCTTCAGGGTCCTGGGACTTGTCCTTTTGGACATGACTTTAAAACTGACGCCATGCTTTGTTTAACCTTAATTGAGACAGTTTCCCCCCCCTTTCCATTTAAAAAAGAATTCGTATTCTTTTTTAAATATCCATATTCCTTCCCTACAGCAATGACAGCTCTTAAAATTTATAGTTAGGCAATTTTTTTCAGATAACTTTCTTTCCTTTTATATGTGATGTGACCATCATAAAATTTAGTCTCTATGGATCAAACAAAATGATCTTACCCTGGTTGGGATCTGAGGCTCTGCAGCCACAGGTTTGAATCCCATCTTCACCTCTTCTCTTACTGGTTATGTAACCTTGAAGAATTTAGTTAAATTCTAAGACCCTAATACATAGGGTCTTTATGAGAATTAAATGGTTTGATGTACAGGTAGATGGATAGATAACATTTAGAACAATGCCTAATATTTCACAAGATAGTTAGCAAACAATTATCAGTGTTTATTATATTATTGAGAAAATTAAAATTGTATGTAATGCCACCAGAACTAGTCAATGTTATCCCTTTGCTATGGATCCCTTTCATTCTGTGTGTGTGTGTGTGTGTACGTGTACCTGGGATATTCATCTATACACATAAACACACAGACATTGGGGGAGGAAATAAATTGTTCTCACTTTGAATTCTATTAATATCTTGTCATTACACTTCTGTAACATAAGTTTTAGTAATTGCACAGCATTCTAATGTCAGCCCTTGTTCATCTGAGCCCCATTGGTTAAGCATTTAGATAATTTCAAACTTTTGCCATTGTTTATAATAGCAATGATACTTACACAGTAAACTCTGTTTTGTAAAATCTTTGCCACATTCATGACTTTTTCTTGAGAATAATATTCTAGTAGGATGCCTGGGTAGTTCAGTGGTTGAGCATCTGCCTTAGGCTCAGGGTGTGATCCTGGGGTCCTAGGATCGAGTCCCACGTCAGGTTCCCTGCATGGAGCCTGCTTCTCCCTCTGCCTGTGTCTCTGCCTCTCTCTCTGTATCTCTCATGAATAAATAAATAAAATCTTTTTTAAAATTGAATAACATTCTAGTAAAGTTGGTGTGTCAAAGTTCATGTATTTTTTTTTATTTTGGTAGCATACACATAAGACCATTACCATTAGTGACATTTCGTACATTCACAGTGCCCTGCAACCATCACCCCATCACATTCCAGTACACTCTCATCACCCTGAAAGTGAGTCCCATACCCACCAAGCAGTCCATCCCTCCCCATCCTCCTAGCCCCTGGCTGCCACCAGTCGACCCTCAGTAAATAGAATCTTACCATCTATGACCTACCATCCCACCCCATGTCTGGCTTCTTCACCCAGCATAATGTTTGCAGGGCACATCCATGCTTCAGCTTACATTTACACTACAATTTCTTTTTTCCTCTCCCACTTGAAAAACTACTCCACTCCTTTTTATAGCTGAGTCATATCCATTATTATTGGTATGGACCCACCATACTTTGTTATTTGTTTATTAGTTGATGAACACCTGGGCTGCCTCCACCCTTTGGCCACCGCGAATAGTGCCACTAGTACAAGCACCTGCTTGCACACCCACTTTCAGTTCCCCTGGGTGCACACCCAGCAGTAGAATTGCAGGCTCATACAGTAAATCTATGTTCCACTTTTTGAGAAAACGCCAAAGTGTTTGCCACAGCAGCTGCGCCACTCTGCATCCCCATCAGTGACCACGAGGCTTCCAGTTGCACCGCATCCTTGCCAACACTTGTCTTTGCATTCTTGCTGCTATTGTTGTCATTGTCGCCATCCTAGTGGGGAGTGGAGTGGTATCTCCTGGTGGTTTTGATTTGCATTTTCCTAATGCCTAATTTTGCTGAGCACCTTTTCATGTGCTTTTTGGCCATTTGTATAACTTCTTTGGAGAAGGTTATGTACATTTCTTATTCTATTGAAACAGACCTAGAAAATGTTATACCATTGTTTACTTTAATCATTAGTATTTGCATGATCTTTCCCAAAAACTATCTTTTAAAGATACAGATAGAATTTTTTTTTAAGATTTACTTATTTATTTGAGAGAACGAGAGAGAGAGAGAGAGAGAGAGAGAGCACCAGAGCAGGAGGAGGAGCAGAGGAAGAGAGAGCAGCTGGGGGAGGGAATCTCAAGGAGCCTCCAGCTTGGGGCTTGATCTCACCACCCTGATATCATGACCTGAGCTGAAAGCAAGAGTCAGATGCTCAACCGACTGAGCCACCCAGGCGACCCCAGTTGGGATGATTTTATATGTGAAATTTTAGATCTGTTCTTTTCATTTAACATTGTTTCCCACATGTTTCCAAGTAATTATGCTGCTTGTAAATGTTGATAAAGGTTAGACTGTTGCATACGTGGTTTTCCTTATATCCTGTGAGTCTAGACTTCCAGATTTTAACTGCTGTAAATAACACCGCACTAAACGTCTTTTGCATAAAGATGTGCCCACATTTCACGTTATGTCCTTAGATTCCCAGAAACGGAATAACTAGAACAGAGGTCTGAACAATTTTAAGATTCTTGAAACATATTGCAACATTAGCACAAAATGTTTTGGAATGGATTTGAAGCCCTCGCCCAGGGAATTTGAAGAGCTGTGTTTTAATTCTAACGTGCTGTGCAACCCTGGGCCTGTCACTCAACCTTAGTTCAGTGTCTGTGCCTCTACAATCTACGTTGAATCTCAGTTGGGTTTCCATATCTCTAAAATCTACCTTCCCTGGGCGCCTGGGTGGCTCAGTCAGTTCAGCGTCTGCAGTCAGCTCAGGTCATGATCTCAGGGTCCTGGGATCGAGCCCCACATAGTCTGGTTCCCTGCTCAGCAGGGAGTCTGCTTCTCCCTCATGCTCTGCACTCCCCCACCACTCATGTTCTCTCTCTGTAATAAACAAAATCTTTAAAAAAAATAAAATAAAATCTACCTTTCCCATGTCACTAGGCTATTGTAGGAAAGCAACTTTGTTCTCTGCACATTGCTTTGATACCCTTTTTAGCATTATAAATATATTGATAAGAAAAATTTCCTTTTGTAAAAACCCCAGAGGAGAAGGGACTGCTTGTCTTGAGTTCTTCCCACCAGTGAGAATTCCTTCATAGATATTTCTAAATCACTTGGCTTATATTAGGTGGTACATAAATGTGTATGAAATGAATGAATAAAAAGCATAGTGGGAGGGAAAATAAAGGATTTTATTTGTTTGGGAAATGATACATAGATAACTGGGAAAAACTAGTGGTAGTTTTCCATATTGATGATTCTTTGTTGTCTTTTATTTTGTTTTCTTTTTTGTTTTTGTCTTTAAAACATTTTTTAAATATTTATTTACTTATTCATGTTTTTATTTTTAAAATTATCACAGTAAAATTGACTTTTTTGGTGTACCGTTCCATACATTCTAACACAGGTATACATTCACATGATCATCACCTTAATCTGATACAAAACAATTCCACCTCCCCCTGATTCTATCAGGCTATCCTTTTTTTTTTTTAAGATTTTATTTCATTTTATTAGAGAGAGAGCACATGAGCAGGAGAAGGGATAGAGAAAGAGGGAGAAAGGGAATTCCCAAGTAGACTCTCCACACTGAGTGTGAAGCCTGCGGGGGAGCCTGAGCCCACAACCCTGAGATCATGATCTGAGTGGAAACCAAGAGTCGGACACTTAACTGACTGAGCCACCCAGGTGCCCCTCAGGCTATCCTTCTGTACTCATCTCCACACCAATTCCTGGTACCCACTGATTTGTTCCCCATCACTATAGTTTTGTCTTTTCAAGGCCATTGTTTACTCATCCACTTGTAAGACATATGGATTGTTTCCAGTTTGAAGCGAATGTGAATAAGGCTCTTTGGAACATTCATGTACAGATTTCTGTGTGTTCATAAGTTTCCATTTCCCTTGGGTAAATAATGCAAGAGTAGGATCAATAGGCCATATAGTAAATGTATGTTCAACTTCATGAGAAATGGGAAACTGATTTCCTAAGTGGCCACCATTTTGCATTACCCTGAGCAGTACAGGAATTCCACTGTTGCTTCTCACTGAATACTTGCCAACTTTTTTTTTTTTAACTTTAGCTGTTCTAATTGGTGTGTGGTGATATATCATCATGGGTTTGATTTGCATTTTAGTAATGACTAATGACGTTGACCATTTTTTCTTGTGCTTACTTGTGGTCTGTATATCATCCGGTCAAATGTCCATTCAAGTCTCTTACCCATTAACTAGCTTGCTTGTTCTTACTGTTGAGTTTTGAGACATCTTTATACATTTTGGATACAAGTCCTTTGTATTTGCACATATTTTCTCTTAGTCTTGTAGGGTTTTTTTTTCCTCATTCTCTTAACAATGTATGTTACAAAGCAAAGTCTTCAATTTTGATAAATTTCAATTTATTATTTTTTCTTTTTTCATTATGCTTTTGGTATCATATCTTAAAAATTCAATACTGAACCCCAGACAACAAAGATCTTCTATGTTGTCTTCCAAAATTTGTATGGTTTAAAGTTTTACACTTAGATCTATGACTCATATAATTGTGTGATTCTTCTTCTTTGGACTGTTAATATTGTGGGTTACATTGATTTGAGTTTCAAATTTTGCACCTAGCCTTGTATTCCTGGCATAAACCGTACTTGGTCACATTATATTATTCATTTTCATGTATTACTGAATTCGAGTTGGTAATATTTCACTGAAGATGTTTGTGTCTA